CAAGATTTCACGACTCATCGGTATGTGCTGAGCCTAGAATGAGAAAGCATTAGGCTTTACCCAAAAAACGCCTTTTCTTTTCAATAAATTTCTCAAATATTTTGTCTTCTTTTAATAAATGAAAGTTCTAAATTTGTTGAAAATGGTAACTGGCGATCTACATAAAACTTAAGGAAATACAGCAACACAAGAAGCAACAGATTGTGTGTCTTATTTAGAATTTAAAAGCAAATTCAGCCTTTACAAAGATTGGGGAAACCATGTATAGCCATGACATTTTTCACAGATGTGACTTGCAGTTTCAAAAGCTTGCTTTTAAAAAATCTATTATTTAAGATGACATAGCATTCACTGCCGTTCAGGAAGCTGGTAGTAAACAAATAGGTTTTTGTTGCCCTTTTGTTTTTTGCCAAAGCAATAGCAGTCTCTTGTGTGTCACTAACTAAACTGACTCCCAAACAAAGAACTAATTTAATGGGATTCCCAAAGCATGTCAATCCAGATTAATCCTGTGGCAGCTATTCTTTATGGAACATTTAGCCTCTGCAAAATGAATTTCTGGCTGAGAAACTTATAAAACAAATACTATTTGTACTATAAAAGTTTTTTTTTCAGCCAATGCCTGTTTATATATTGTGGAGGTAGTATGGGATAATGGCAATGGCTTTGCAGGGTCACAAAGCTATAAGACCTTGGGAATGTTAATTTGTCCAAGGGTGCCTCAGAATCTCACCTATAAAATGGGGGTACCTCAAATGCTTTATAGGGTGGTTATGATATAATACATGTAAAGTATGCACCATGGCAAATTAGTTAAGAGCAAGGACCCTGGAGCCAGTGTATGTCCCATGAAAACATGAATCTTGTCAGTTTTGTTGACCTCTATATTCCTAGGGTTCAATAAAATAGTTCCTAGCACACAGTATGTGCCCAATAAATATGTGCTGAAAAAATGAAATCAAACATCCTGGCTTTGTCATTCCTGGTTATATGACCAAGGGCAAGTTACTTACCTCTATAAGCCTCAGCAGCTTCCTAAAGTGAGAATTAAATGAGCAAAGTGTAAATGCTTAACATACTAGCTATTACTGTTGAACAAGCTGAACACAGCATGAAAAAAGTAGGCACTCAATATGTGGTAACTATTATTACTAATTTGAATTTTAAATTAATATACTGTCTATTTTAAAAGATAATAATGAAAAGATAGTATGAGTTAAGGCAACTACTGGTTTTAAATAATGTCATGAATTTGAAAGCCTTTTTAAAATTGCTAAACATGTGACATTATAAATGCTTTAAGGCATGTTTGGAAGAGTACATTCACCTGCATTTAAAATTCTGTTGTTTAAAAATACTTTCTCAGATATTCACCTTTTCCCATTAAATATCACTGTAAGTGATAAAAGGAATCCGCTTTTATTATTCAGCAAAGGATGTAGTTTTGAAGAGTGTGGGAAATACAGTTGGCCCACGTGTTCAGTATTGAGAACAATGACAAAAATTCCTCTCATATTCTAAATGCAGCACTTGTAAAGTACTGAGATATAAACTACTTTGCAATACTGAGTAAATCAGTAATTATTTTAAAACATTATTGCATGGAAGACAAAAAAATGAAATTACTTATTACCTTAACTCAAAACCCACCACATATATACATATATATATACACACACACACACACACATACACACATATATGTATGTATGTATACATATACATATGTGTGTGTATTTCAAAAATATATATGTAAATGAACACTTCAGCATAGGTAGAGTTCCCCTCTTCTACTCAGAAATGAGTGTGTATATATATATATATATATATATATATATATATATATATATAAATTTTAACACAGAACTGCAGGGTCCTTCTCCTTTATTTCACTTATTTTATATTTTATCATGATATTTGTTCCATTGGAAACAAGATTCAGTAAAGTGTAATAAGGACGTGTTACCTACCCGGGGAGACTTCCATTACTCTAAGCAACTCTCGCAATATTCGTACCAGAGTAGTTTTCACTGGTATCATCAGCTCTCCTTACCTCACAAATCTCTAATTTTCTGTCTCTTCTACCTTTTCTTCTATCTGTTTTACCTTCCTCTTAACTTACTCTACTTTCCCTTTTTATTTTCTTTTTTTACTATGATTTTGCTTCAGGACTGCAAACTTTTATGTTACAAATAATATATATTTTTTAAGTTTCTTGGCCAGAAATTCTGGGACATATCATGACTTAGTCCCTAAGAAACTCCTAATGCCCCATCATGGTCCCTCTCCTGTCCCTGCATCCTTCTCTACCAGATTGTTTCCAAGGGACTTTTATAGTATAGAGTTAATTTACATAAGAATTCGTTATGAATTCCACAGCAAAGATACCCACAGATTAATGACAGTGGGTTGAAATGTTGATTTTGTCAAATGTAGTTAGGAAGGAAAGATGTACTCCCGAGCAATGAGTGCAAGCAGTCAGGAGAAAATTAACTGAGAGAAAAGTACAGCAGAGTGAAATGCAGGTCAGTGAGAAAGGAAGAGGCAGCGCAGGTTGTGATAGTGTGAAAATGAGGGACCAGATGAAAAAGACACTGATTCCTCCTTGCTCTGTAACACCTGAGCTTATCACACTGAGTCGTGAGAGTCAAAGTAAGCTTTTTGAAGGAAGACAAGACAGATCACAGATCTCAGATCTCAAGCTGGTCCTGGTGAAGGGTGGGCCAGGGGGTGCCTCCGCTCTGTGAATGACTTCTTTAAGCAGGCAGTTGCCACTGCCTCCTACATTAATCACCTTTCCATCACACGCTCACTTCAGCCCTTACTCCAGGCTTCTTCTCTCTCCCTGACCTCTGCATGAGTCTCCCTCAGCATTAGCATTCTCACTGCAACTCAAACTGTCCCCTTTTTTTTTCGTCTTAATTTTTCAGCTCAACATCTCTGCTCCTAATACTACCAGTCTTCTCACTGGTCTTTGCAATGACAGTTCCTATACCTGGAGTGCTCTATCTACCTGTTACCTACTTTTCAAGTCTATGCTATTTTACCTTCCCTAGGATGCTTCCTTTTATTAAGTCTACGCTAAGCGTATCCTTCTCTGAATAGTATCACAAAACTCAAAAATCAATTGTTTACTAATTAACTATTCCTCTTATTCTCTCTTCCCCAACTTGACAATAAATTTAAGAGCAGGGACAAAATCTAATGAATCTTTGGATTCTGACACTGGATGACTGACTAGAATATTAATAGAGTCATTTTGGTCGATTCTCCCAGGTCCTGACAGAGCCTCATCATTTACTATAAACCATGAACACAACTTCTGTCTTATGAGAAGTCCTTTTTCTCCACAATCCCAAAATCTGACACAGTTAAAAGGGGAAAGTTTATTTTATAATCATAAAAAAGGAGGTTTTTATAATCGCAATTGGAAACACTGTAAGGAAACAGTTTTTTCATCAACTTGCCATGCTGGTTTTCTTTTATTACTTCCACATGTCTTACTCCGCCTGTATTATATAATAAAAATGTGTATGTCATCAGTCTCCCTGTTCTGAACATCAGTTGTTCTGAACACCAATGCATGACCTCACATCTAGGGTTTATATTTTGACTTCTGGTCTGCAGTGGCGCTATGCTATGCTTATCAATAACAAAATTATGTTTTTGATATAAACACTTTCGAACATTTAAAAAATTCTATAAGACTTTCTCTTTTCCAATTAATTGATAAAAGATGTCTCTGGGTCATTGATTATAGCAATAAGAAATATGCAAGAGATCCTTATTCTTTTTTTCTTTTTTAAACTTATAAGATTTGTCAAAAGGTGAATGGTGGCAATATATTTTCCACATTTCTCATCCATGTTGGAGTCAAGCAGAGCACCAAGTAATTACCTGGTTATGTATTTCCTTGGTCACATGTTACAAAGTTTTCACGTGAGAATTAAATATTGGCATGTGGTAACATTTCAATTTCACAATTGAGTTCTGCCTATGGAGATCTAAGTCACAAATCACTCCAGGTTGGGAAAGGGAATCTAGTTTTAATATTTTTCTCAAATAATCAGAGTTTACATATTTTTATCTACTATCAGCACTGAAAACTTCAGATTCTATTAATTTTTCTCTTTGAGTCTTCTACAACTTTGAGGGAATAAGGGTTGTTGTTCATTTACAATATTTTTAGTTTTTATTCTAATGAACGTTTTGATTGTCTCATGCACATCAACAATTTAATTTTGAACTAAGATCAACTTAGGAGTTTTAAAAAGTTGTTCTACTCCTAGAAGGTAAAGAAAAGGAAAGCTAGACAATGTTGTTAATAAAATATATAAAAATTCAGTTTGGGAAAAAAAGTCCCTAAAGAAAGAAAAGATTAGATTGAGTGTGTATCACTAGTGAGTTCAAAATTAGCATTTCATTTTCCTTGCCAAGTCATAAAAATGGTAAGCAACAAATAGAATGGAATTTAATAAAAATAAATATGATGAGCTATACAAACACATGATTTTATTGACACCTGACCTCAGGGTCAAACGCTTAAAACATTCTCACTTGTGACTAGCAAGTATTTTGCTCTCAATAGTTGCATCCTATTAAACCACTGGACATGATGGTTGAGGTTTCCACCAATTTGAATTAAAAGATGGGGATTATCTCATTTGAACTACATGGAGGTCTTGGAAGGGTAGAGTAAGCATTTCCTCATGACAAATTCACTATTTCTAATTCAATAATAACATCACGTGGAGATTTGCCTTTTTAGTCATGACTGCAACAAATTTTACAGTGGTATTGTTTAATTCGTTCGTTGATTTATAGCTGTAAACTAGGATCTTTAATTGTATTAAGGTGCTATCCCCTTATTCTCTTACGAAGAAGGAAGCTAATATCACAATTGATGAAATTTAATACTTTGACCACATCTCCATTTACAACATCATTTATGTACTACTATGATCTTTGTGGAAATGTTCAGAGAAATGTGTGAAACTCACTCAATGAAGTAGACTTCACCCTTCTCTGTATAGGCCATTTCCCAGTTATCAGGCAATGGGTCTGATTCATCATGCTCTTCAGGTTTAGTTGGTTTTGCATCATCCATCTGTTCCTTCACCTCCTCGGGCTGACTATACACTGGTGCAGGATAAGGCTGGGAGGGTGTCTCCCCTGAGGCACCTGCACTCTTGTCTTCATGTTCACTGGATTCTATGAGAGAACAAGAGCATAGGGTTAGTCACTCGAGCCACTGTAACTTCTGAGTGAGTGCGGACTACGCTCATCAGGGAATGAGCTCTGTGAAGGCTAATAGGAAAAGCACAGTTGTAACCAGCTCTGAAAATTATCAGTAGCCCTATTGGAGTTCCCTTTTCACTCATCATTCTCACAGATCCTTCAACTAATTATTGCTGATGACTAACTTGGACGACCATTTCACAATGCAGGTGTGGCAGACAGTGTAATGCTCCCTAAGGATGCCCATGCCCTATGCCCTGGAACATGTGATTTTTACCTTACATGGCAAAAGAAGATTTGCAGAACTGATTAAACTAAGGACCTTGCGATTGGGGGATTATCTTCAACTATTCAGGTGGGCTTATTTTAATGACAAGGGTCTTTACAAGTGTAAGAGGAAAGCAGAAGACGAGTGTGAGAGGGATATGTGACTACTGAAGAATGGCAAAAGAGATGCACCGGTGCTGACTTTGAAGATAGGAAGGGACCAAACACAAGCTAAGAAATGGGGGTGGCCTTTAGAAGCTGGCAAGGCAAAAGAATAGATTCTCTTCTAGAGCCTCGAGAAAAGAACAGTTTTTCAGACATCTTGATTTTAGCCCAGTGAGACCCAGGTCAGACTTCTAACCTACAGAGCTGTATGATAAAAAAATATGCATTGTTTTAAGCCACTAGGTGTGTGGTAATTTGTTACAGCAGCAATAGAAAACTAATACAACAGAGCAAAAACTAAAAGAGATACATACCTTAAGAGAAATGATAAAAGGCTTGGAGGACAGACCCAAGGGTACCAACATGCAAATGGTATGAGCTCCAGAATGAGGAAAAGGGCCACATGGAGAAGAAATAACAACTCAATAAAAATAGAATATAAGTTGCCTAAAATGAAGAAACACTTGAGTCTCAAGATTAAAATGGTTCACTGAATCTGAGGCCAAATTAATGAAGTATTTATTTCACCTAAACACATCTAGGTGAAATTTCCAAGCTCCAATGTTAAGAAACAACTTTACAAGCTTCCACATTGAAGAAAATTACCAAAAAAAGAGGAACAGAAGATCATCAGACGTTTCATCTATAATACCCTAAGCTCAAATACAGTAAGGGAACACCTGTAGTAACTTGAAGAAAAGAAAAGTACAGCAACCCAAGAAATTAACTCTACCAAAATAATATTCCTCTATCTAGGCAAAAGAAAGTCACTTTTAAACCTGCAAAAGTTCTGAATGAAATCTTACCTTTGGAAAGCTCAGGTTCAGAGAAATTTCCTACAAGGTAAGATGGTGATTGGGAGAGAAATTCAAAGGGGAAATTTAGATTTAAGATACTCCCTGGTTCATTCAGGGATTCAGCACCACTATATTTAGGTTTTGGCCTCGGGTGTGGCAAGGTAATGGTAAGAAGAGGGAAACCACAGAAAAGATCAAGGGAACCAAAAGCAGAGGGGGCCTATAACTACTTTAGTTTGGAACTTTGGGAGGAATGTTTCCTGCAGAGTGGCTCCAAATCTCCACTGGGGTGTCAGAGATAAATGGATGAATACATCTGGCAAATACTACTCCCAAGACTTCCCTGTGGCATGCACATCACGCAGAAGTCCAAGTATGCTCTGGTGGAGACTTGGAAAGTAGCTAAGAATAGAGAACAGATCCGCCTGCACTGAGGGTCACTATGGCTTCTTCACAGCAGAAGGCGTGGTGGGGACAGCTTAACCCAGAAACTGGAAGGAGACACTACTGACATACAATGTTAATGTGATGGTGAGGCAGCCCTCTTAGAAATATGAAACTACACAATTGTTTGGGAACCTAATCCATAGCTATTAACATTAAAAAATATATACAAATACATATATGCTTCGACTCAGTAATCCCAGTTTGAGAATATAACCTCTAGGAATAAACGTGGTGGTGTATAAAAACAGCTATATAATAATATTTATTGTAGCACTGTTTGTAGTAGCAAAGACCTGGAAACGATTTGGATGCCTATCAATGAGGGTATGATTAAACAAATTGTGGTTATCATTACCATGGAAAACTATGTAGTGTAAAGACCTGCTGACCTGGAAAAGGTGCTAATCATTACTATTCAAAGAGTAATCCAAATTGAAGAGTAATACGTGTACACTGTTAATTCTATTTAAAAAAAAAAAAGCATACAGCAAGCTAGATATATGCAAATAATTTTGTTTACAAGTATATGAACAAAAAAACAAGATGGAGAGATGTACAACAGATGGTTAACTTTGATTAAACAAAAACAGTACATTTGTATGGGTGTGGGAGTTTTTTTACGTATCTTTGCATTAGTTGGCTATTATATTTATAAGTTTAAAAATAATAAAGGTAATTTAAAATGAGTAAATTAAAGTAGAATGTACTTTTTGTCTTAATCAACGGCTTGGATTAAGTTTTTTCCCCATATGCGTCAGTCTCAGAGAGCAATATGAAAGCATCTTTAGGAATTAGGACAAGAACACTTTACAAGCTTTTGTTGTTTTGCCCTTAAAAAGAAGATTTTATGAAAATAATATGGCCCTTAGTGATGTAGTCTCCCAGCTGATTCTTCATACATATTTAACCTTTGTAAATTGTGCAGGAAAGAAACAGCAAGAGAAGGTACCATTGCTTTTTTTAGATTCTCCTTGCTGTACCTTATTACCGCATGTAATTACCAATACGTGAAGCGTACTGTTCTCAGGTATTTCCAAATGTCGTGTTGCATTTGAAAAGTTAAAAAGCAAGGTCATGATCTGAACACATTCATTTATTCAATATTCACCTAATCAGTATTTATTAAACACTCAATTGGTGTCAGGCACCAAGGACAGAAGAGCAAACAAGAGAGGCATGATCCTTGCTCTCACAGAACTCAAAATATTTCAAGATGTGTAGTCTTTAAACAATTTTAAGTGCGATGAATACTATCAAAGGGAAAGATGAGATCTTACGCATACACATTCCTCATAAAGAATCAAGGAAAGCCCTTTTTCCAACATGCTATCAAATCTGAGACTAGAAAAAGGAGTCAAGTGACTTCTTTCAGAGGAAAGTAAGGGAGAAAGAAATACATAAAAAAGGAATAGATTAGGCCTTAGAAAGCATGCTCAGAATTTGGGACTGTATCCTGAGAGTAACGAGAAGGTACTGATGTGTCTTAATCAAGGGGATGACACAAGTAGGTTTTTATTCTCCGCAAAAACCCTCTTAGTTATTCTGGGGGTTTGAGAGTGTTAAGAGTAGATATTTACAGGCCATTGGGGAGTTATTTTTGTGTTTGAGACAGAGACGTTGGTGGCATGGGCATGGCTTCTTTTTATGAACTGAAAAAAAATGTAGAATACGGATTTGGTATGATATTTTAAAAAAGGTACAGATAAGGACAAATGAGAAGTCATGGTAAACCCAGTGGGGGGCAAAGCAATTCACTGAGCTAGGCACCATGACAGGAGGAGCAGGACTCTGTCAGGAGTGGGAAAGATAATGGCTGTAATTTTAGGCACAACAGATGGAAGTCCATGCCAAACTCACAATGGAGATGTCAAGTCAATGAGTTCTTGGCTGGAGGGAATCAGCTTGAAAGACTACAGCATACGGATAGATTGTATTATAATTTAAGCCACAGGAGTGAATGAAATTGCCTAGAGAGACAGTGCAGCAAGTGGAAACAAGAATACCTAGAGCAGCTGTCTGAGGAACTCCAACATTTAAGTCATCCAGAGAATGACGAGGGAAGAGCAGCCAGGGAAGTAACAGAAAAACCAGTTGATCTTTATGGCACAGAAGCCAAGCAAAGGTCAATGAGGAGGAAACACTTAACTGTGGCCAAAACTTCTAAACAGTCCATCAGCAAGATTAGGATGTAAAATCTAATGAAATTCAAGATATGGAGATCACTGGGGATGTTAGCTACCAGCTGTGGTACTAGTTGCAGTGGAGTGGTGGATGGGAAGGCCAAACTGGAATGGATTAAATGAATGCATAAAGAGAAAATATAGAATATGCTAACAGAGAAAGTCAAAGATTAGCTACGAACAAATAAACTTTTTTCTTCATCTAATTAACTATTATATTTTCAAGAGAAATGTGAGACATCTCCTGAAAAAAAAAAGTCTAGAGTCTTTGGAGATGTCTATAGTTATATTTATAACTATTGATGTGCTAGAGATTACTAAGCCATGTTCTCCCAGTTTATCTAGCTCATTTATTCATTCATTCCTTTATTCTTATCTAATCAATCAATTGTTACATTAGCAAACATGAATTTATACCTACAATGTGCAAGATACTTGACAAGAGCTTAATGGGGGAGAGAAAAAGAACTTTTTATCAGGCTACTGAGAATTGGGTTGAAATGTAAGTAATAAGGAGCATCCACTTTCTTTATTTGAAGAAAATAAGAGAAAAAAAATGAGTAAGGCAAATGGACAACCACAACATCCCCACATTTACTATTCATAAAGGCTAATCTAGGGATGCAGTTTATGGTGAGGGTCAAGGGCTTCTGGTAAAATACAGAATCAAGCTAACATACCCACAGGGAGTACTGAGGCAGGGCAGGCTTCCCATGCAGCGGTAGAACCTGTTCCCGGAAGAGCCATGCAGGGTATTAAGAGGAAATAAAAAGAGGACTTGAGCCAAGGAGGCCCAGATTATCCTTCAAAGATGTATCACTCAGAGAAGTCACTCTACCTCTTTTGGGCAGAATAAGTCAAGGAGCCAGTGGAGTGAAAATTAAGTACCCTCTTTGACATGCAAGACAACATGGGAGGTGGAGAGGAAGTACTTCCCCCCAGTGGATAACAATGCAGAGTACTACCACAATGATTTATTGAAGGATACTCAGTGACACAAAAGAGTTGTATACAATTCTCTAGGGAGACGATAAGGCACAGGGAAACAAGAGTACCTAAGGCAGCTGTCTGAGAAACTCCATTATTTAACAGTCAGCAAAGGAAGAAACTGGCATTA